GGGTATATCCCTAACTGGCACATTTCCTTTTTGTCCAAATAAGGAAAGACTGGTAAAGTTTGTTTTGGAATTAGATACACCAAACACATTTATACTTCCTTCTTTCTGTCACTACTGTTCTGATCTTTCTTCTTAGAAGACCAATTGCATTTTACTTATTGGATACAAGAAGCCTACCAAAGGCAACAGTCTTTGGAACACAGCACCGTAGTTCTTTACCTTTTCAGTTAACTACATTAAATATGATTATTTCGTTTGTTTCGTATTTTTCCAAGCCGAATTCATATTTATTTTTTCTCGCCGCCTTCACCAAACATCAGTAAAATTAGATCATTTCAGCTACAGAAATCGTTCATCCTTCATGGTCGGTCTCAGCTTCAACGAAAACGTGATCTCGGCAAAGTTGATTTTACCGGAATTTTTCGTTTGCTTTTTTTTTGGTGGGGTTGTTTGGTTTCGCTTAAAACAACCCGATGGACTACAAAGGGGGTTAGAAAGGGAGGGGGCAGAACGAGTCGACTTTCCACGGAAACTTAGGGAAAGTTGAGGCACTTAGAAATGTAATGCTGTGGTTTTGCATTTTTAAGACTTTTGCACGCTAAGATGCTGGCTGCGGAGCCGGGGCAAAGCCGGGACCTCGGGGCGCGGGCGTGGGGGAGGGGAGGGGGCCGCGGCGCCACGCGGTCAGCCCAAGGGCGGCTGCGCTCCCGGGCGCTGGGCAGTGTCCTAACCTCCCTTTCTTCCCTAGGGGCAGGGCTGAGGCTGGGAGCCAGCAGTTAAAGGTCTGGGAGAAAGAGATCCAGGACAGGGGGACCCCACCCCACACCTCAACCACAACAAAACCTACGAGGGAGCAAAGGGTTATTTTCGCGCCACAAAAGATGGAAATCCCTAGGGCGGTTCCCGGACCAATGAATGGGAACCAGCAAACGGCTCCGGCGGAGCTAGCCGACGGTGATAGGTCTATGCCTCCACCAATCGGAAGCGGGAACGCCCTTCCCAGGGGCGGGGCCTCTCCCGGCGCCGGTTGCTCAAGTTGGGCTCTGGGAGTCGGAGGGGCTGCGCTGGAGCCCCGCCCTGGGCGCCTTCGCGCGCCGTCGGGCAGCCGAGCCCCGCCCAGGGCAGAGAAGAGCTCGGCGAGGGCTTCCTGCGCTCTCTCCGTGGGTACCGAGCATCCTCGAGCTCCACGGCGCCGCTCGGGTGCACAGACGGAGGCCGGAGGTGCGGAGGGGTCGCTGGACGCGCGCTGCCCGTCTGTTTTCAGGGCACGCGCCGGGAGGCGCTCAGGTGGGATCGCGCGGAGGGGGCGCCTCGGAGCCCCCGGGTCGTCCCGTTCACCCCGGCCTCGCGCTGCGCCGTCCCGCGGCAGGGCCAGGGGGAGGGCGCCCAGGGGTCTGGGCCGACGGAAGACCTTCCTCAGGATGGGCTGCGCGGACCCCGCCTTCTTTTCCTAGGCAAAGCTGGAGGAAAAAGGAAACAAAACAACACCCCTGTTTCCACCTCCCGGGCCACCATTTTTAACAATTTTAAACAAAAATGAACTGCAGACTCCGGAGGAACAGGAGAGCAGGTTACCACGGATCACGCCTCTGGTGTAAGCAGATCAGAGTCCAGGAGAGGCCCAGGCGAGCGGCGGGCATTGTGTGTCCACAGCTTTCGGGTCTCAGAGGCCGGGTGTGGGGAAGGGGAGCCTCGGGGTTGCCCATGCCCTCTGCCTGCCCAGCGTGCGCCCTCAACCTGTGGATATGCAACGGTAACCGACCTTCATTTCTCTTTAATAGTACACTGACCAGCAAAAACCAGTTTTATTGCCTTCAGGTCTGCAGATAAGGAGAGGAGGTAGCTGTCCAAAGAGTAAAAACATGGGTGGAAGTCCTTCCTTAGTGGAATTAATATTAATTTAGAAACTACAACTGTTTCAGGAAGAACCTGGGGTGGCCCGTGTGCAGTTAATTTGTGTGAGCTTCATTAAAAGACTGGAAGCTACACACGGATTGCATATTCGTTTTTGATAATTCATCAGAGAAATTTTTGTTCTTGAAGTACAGTAAAAAGCAATTCATAATCTTCTTAGCCACTGAATATATACACTCATCCCTTAAATGCTTGGAAGATTGGAAGTGGGCTGTATTTGCTTCCTTTTTGATGTCTGAGCTTATATTACTCGTGTGTGTTTTTAAAGTCCTGGATGGAGTATCCAGTTTGTTACAATAATACACAGATTAAGTTCACAGGAGTCCCAGGAACATATTTCATCAAAACAGCACACACTTGTTTGAAATTCCAGCTGTTCGGTTTGATTGTGACAGATAAGCACGGGGTAGTATTTATGGAAAATAAACAGTTTATCCCATGCTTAAAAAGTAGCAATTTACTTAGGTCTCAGTTTTAATAAGAGCCAAGTGCAACTAATAATCAAGCCACCATTCAATCCACTTTGTAAACAAGCTAAGCATACACAATTTGTGGTTATGAAAAATTTCTAAGTTCAGTAATCTTTTAGAAAAACAAATAGGAAAAAGGCAAATTTCTCAAGATAGCTTTTGATCATATGCAACAGGTACATGAAAAACAAATTCCTATTTTAGCATGGACATTTTGGGTCAATGGAAGTCATAAGAATACATTTTTTTCCTTTTCTGAACAAATTTTCTCATAAAAACCATTAAAAAGAAAAGTCAACGCTTTTAAAAAGTTAAACTTAACCATAGGAGAAATTTTAACCTCGAAATATACTTTCCAGATTGAACTCATAGTTCAAAATTCTGATACAAGAACATGTTTGTCCCCTCTTGTGGAATAAAAATATTTCACTAAGTTTAACGGAAATGAAATACTGTGAAAGTGTGTTTACATTTATAAAGTTGGGTATGCTTGGTAGGAAAGAAAAACCAGTTAGAACAGTTGCATTTAAAATGGATGACCTGAGAGCTTCCGGTTACGTAGAAAAACCATGAATTCTTTTTAAAAAGTCAAAAATGTAAATACATTACATATCTTACAGTATCCCCCAAGCTTTAACGATAATATACCATTCGTCGTTTGATAGGAAAATACGCTTGTGTGCTACGTCTGATTTTGACAAAGAATCGAGCAGTAACTTGTCAATTACTGAAGATGTTCCATTGTAAATCAATCATATATTTTCTCTATTCACATTTTCCATTTTTCAACTAATAATACAAAGTCATTAAAGAATGTTTAAAGTTCACGCTGTATAGAATTTTACTTTCTAAAAATTAGCATTTTATATCTTTTGTATAAAATGTCTGTTAAAAATACATCACAAGTATCTGATACAAAATGAATCCTTGGAGTGGCGTACACAACCATTACACGGTAGAGATTTCCACAAGATCCCCAGGACTGCCTCCGTTTCCGTATTCTCCAGCTCAGTTTGTTGGCCCAGGAAGGCTCCACCGGGCCCAGACCCTCCACCCCCAACCATTGTACTCGTTACATACAAGGAAAATTATGAATGGCTTGCATGGTCAAATGCAGGCAAAGAGACTCGAACAGTTTTTCAAGTGCTAAAATCACCTAAGGGCTAACCCAGAGCGGTCTTCCTGTTTGAGTCCCAAGTTCTCCAACTAAAATTATTTAAACTACCAACCTACCCACTCCCTCCCCTCCAGACGAAAGGGTTTCTCTTTAAGTACCGACTTTCCCTACTCGGACTTCTCTCCCGGTGCAGCCCAGGCCCCCTCGTCCCCAGGCCCAAGCCAGGAACCACCGCCCCGGCGCTCCCCTCCCCCACCGGTGGCCAAGCCCGCCCCCGGCCTCATTTATCCCCGATCCTTTTCTGAATCGAGCAGCCAATGGCAAACGCGCAGCCCAGAGCCACCGCGAGCCGAGGCGGAGGAGGTGTCGCCAGACACCCGCCCAGGACGCCGCGAGCTCCCCTCCCCCACGCCCCGGCGCCCGCGCCCCCAAGCCCGGGCCCGGTGAGGGTGCGGCGCGTCTGCCCTCCCCCACCCCCACTCCTGCCCCCACCCTCACCCCCTGTGCGCTTCCGTCCTCGCCAGCCTTGGAAATGTGCCCCATGCTTGGCCGGGGCTACACTTCTCTTGTCATCAAAGCCACCAGGCGACTTGGAGATTGTGACTCTTTGGTTTTAATTTATTTTAAAAAATAGAATGATGGAAATTACGGTACCTAGAGCTGAGGAACTGTCTAGTTGTCATTTCTAGCCCCTATTTAAAAGAAAAATAATCAGTATTCTAACCTTCCCTCCTCGGGTCCGCCCCGACCTGATGACCCTTACTAAACTCGGGCGGTGACAATCAGCTCGCTGCGCCGCGCGCCCCTGCGCCCCGGCTGCGGCCGCTTGAGCCTTCCCCCTTCTCCACCCCTCCCCAGGTCCCCCGCCCCAGATCGTTTCCCCTCCCCCTCTTCCCCTCGCTCGCTCTTTTTTTCTTTCCTCCGAAACCCGCTCTAATTGAGGCGCTGGGATTCCTCACGTGAGACGTTGATTTGTAGTTTGAACACGTGGCTCATTCAAAAAGCCGGACACTCGGAGCGGATTTTTTCCGCCTCCTGCGCCTCCCTCCTCCTCCCCTTCGTCCCTCCTGCCAGTCACCCTTCGGGGTTCTTCTGGGGAGGCGGCGCCTGCCGCACGTAGTGTGATATTTTCACAGTCCGCTGGCCGTGCCAAAGGGGCTGGGGAGGAAGAGACAAAAAGTAGTTTTTTTTCCCCTCCTCCTTCCTTCTCCTTTCTCTTGCTAATCCCGCCTCCTCAGAGTTAGGAAGACTCGTCGTTGCGTTTGGGTTGTGGCTAGATTTTTTTTCTTTCTCCTTTTTTAATACCTAGAAAAGGAAAAACAAGAACCTTCGGATCTGATTTTTCCGCTCCTCGTTCTTGCCCTTGGTTCTTACGGTGCTGTGTATTTTAAAGGCGAGAAGACGAGGGGAAACAAAACCCGCCGGATCTATCCATCACTGTGGGTGGTTTTAATTTTTCGTTTTTCTCAATTTTTTAAAAAAACCAACCACTCTTCACAATGAACAAACTGTACATTGGAAACCTCAGCGAGAACGCCGCCCCCTCGGACCTAGAAAGTATCTTCAAGGACGCCAAGATCCCGGTGTCGGGACCCTTCCTGGTGAAGACGGGCTACGCGTTCGTGGACTGCCCAGACGAGG